ATATACCCACTGTCCCTCCTCTGGATGTGTCCAAACCAATATACCCACTGTCCCTCCTCTGGATGTGTCCAAACCAATATACCCACTGTCCCTCCTTTGGATGTGTCCAAACCAATATACCCACTGTCCCTCCTCTGGACACGTCCAAATCAATATACCCACTGTCCCTCCTATGGACATGTCTACACCAATATACCTACTGTCCCTTCTCTGGACATGTCCAAACCAATATACCTACTGTCCCTTCTCTGGACATGTCCACACCCATAAACCCAATGTCCCTTCTCTGGACATGTCCAAACCAATATACACACTGTCCCTCCTCTTGACATGTCCAAACCAATATACCCACTCTCCCTCTTCTGGACATGTCCAAACCATCTCAGTCTGGTCTCTTTAACTTTACCTCCCAGTCCTTGAGCCTGTGCTGTACCTCTGATGATCTAAAGCAGTCATTGGGTTTACTTGTACAACTGACTATTTGTGGTCAACCCAATTCAAGATGGCCACCACAGGATATCTAGAACTTGATAAACTGATAATTAACTTATGATTATAAGATGGTAGCTGAGAGTCGTCTTCAACACATACTCTGAGCATTATTACATCTGACAAAAATATGGCCGTGGTGACCATCTTGAATTAAAACTGTCATGAAAGGCAGTAGACAATATTAATCCATTCATATTACAAGTCTTTTACATTTTGCTGAATGAGATAAGTTTAAAAAAACAAACATGGGTATTTCCTTTCATTTAAGGCCATGAATTAATAATTTGTCCTAACCCGTGCAGTTGATTAGTACGTTTTATGTTCAACTGCTGCATTTGACATCTTTACTCAGTCAAACAGCTTTATTAGTAGAAAATAATGCACTTCTGACTTTCTCCCTCTGTCTTCATCTCTGAACATTCTATTCAACTGTCTGCTGGGTGAAATCAGCCGGCGGGCTCTTAATGTGCTGTTAAAAATCACCAGCCAGATCCCTCCTTCCCCACACCCCCTCCCCTTCCCCAAATGAATTCCCTTTGCCTTTTGCACAGCCTATTATTGCGCCACTCGCAGTACAATATGTCCTTATTGAAGCTTTCAGATGCAAATGTAACGGCGTCACCTTCTCTGTGTCCTGCTGACAGCTGTGCGGACGCCTCCCCCCCAGCCTCCCATAATTGCTACTAATTGTTATTCCCCAGGCAGGACTTCGCAGAGCACTTCTGAAGACCCTGTTATTTGGACTGGAGGGGGGGAGAGATGGTGTTTTGTGTTGCACATCATGTCTTTAGCTTGGTAATTCTTGGTTCAATTTTTTTAGTAAATTGAGGAAATGGTTGAAATGAAATTGAGGTGTAGGTGTGACATTAAACGCGAGGGGCTGCAGTCGTTTGAGGAAAATGGTTTGGGGAGGAATATTTGGGAAAAATCGTATCTCTTTCTGTGATCTATCTGTGGCCACACATAGCCCAGACATGTTGATGATCACTATAGCTGATCAATATTAATGTGTTTCTGGAGATTCTGTTGTTTATCTCAACTTACCATTCAGTCATTTCAATCAAGTGGAATTTACGTTTGATGACATTCCTTGAAATGATCAYAAGTCTTTCAACTCTTTCTCCAGAGGGAGGTAGTGGTAGTTGATGAACACGTTTTAGGTTAGTTGACGTCTTCAGAACACTGAGGATTAAACAAACCTCTACTTGTAATGGAAAAAAAGATTTAACAAGGCCTATTTTTTACATTTTCTGTGTCAAATAGTTTAAACAAAACCATCTTTGGTGTAAACTTGCCAGTGATCTTTGAAGCAAAACTTTGGAAAAAGAAGATATGGAACAGAGTTTTTTATGGTTTTATCATCTTAAAATGCTTGAGCACTTTGGTTAAAACAATAAAAAAGAGTCAATAGGGGATGCTTTTACTTAACATTTGTAAGATTTTCAGTTTGAATATACAAACTGGTGTGAATCTGTGAGGAAACATGTTTTTGATCCTGTGATAGATCTTCTTTTCTGTTTTCTGTCATCAGATTATGGCTGTGGCTCCTCTGAGACTCGCTCATACGAGAGGGATAATGTAGTTGGATCAGATGTTGAATGTTTGCAGTATCGGGGTTGTCATTTCTCAGCATTTCCTGTGGGCATTAGAGACAGACGGACCGGGTTTATCTGTGTCACAGTGTCGACTGGCTGTCTGTCTCCCTCTGYGCTTCTCAAAACTCTGTTTATGTGGACTGACAGCTCTTACAATGCTGCTGACAGGCTTAAAAAATCCACAAAAAAATAAACACTTGAMCCTAAATATTATGTACCAAACTAGAACATTTCACAAGAGTGCTAATGTAACTACTGCTGCAACTTTCAACATTAACATTTTAATTTAAATCTGTCAGATTTTTCTGATGAAACCTGTCAATGGATACTTTCTCAGACTTTCAGATTTCTTCAAAACACCACTCCTTGATTAGTTTCATATTTTTAATATTACSTTAATGTGAGCTGAAGCTTTTTAATAAAGCAGTTTAATCAAACCCAGTTGTTTGTGCTTTGAATTTAAGTCTCCATTTTGTTTCCAATCAGGCGCAGATTTCACAGTAGTTCAGCTCATTCCCGTAATGTCCTGTACTTGTCCTGGTTTCTGCCGCTGTCTAAMGACTGCTGAGCATCTGAAGGATTGTAAGCCTGCAGTCCACTCTGTTCCATGACTAATAGTGTAATTTAGGCCGGCTGATGTGCAGCAGGAAAAGGCCTTTGAAGTGGAGTAGAAGAAGACGTTGGCGCTCGCGCAGCGACTCGAGCAGCAACATCAAAGAGAACAAATAGTTGCCATGGAGGTAAACGCTGCTCTCTTTCTTTCTGGATCTGTTCTTTTTTCCCTCCACTCCGTCATTTAAAGCACCTTTTCTTTTGTTCTCGTTTCCATCCACTTGTCCTCCAGTTTGAGTTTGTCACTTCCTTCATCATATGATGGCTTTTTTACTTTGAGACAGTTTCTGATAATTTTGTCTGTTTTTCTTTGAGACAGTTTCTGATAATTTTGTCTGTTTTTCCTTTAATAATATGGTTTACTGCAGTTTAAAGTTTGTTTTTTTAGTTTGCAGTAACAAACTGAACACATGAAGGATGTTGCAATCGTTACACATTAAGCTATTATCTTATATACACAAACAACAAACATGAAGGAAGCTCCTGAACGTCTCCAGAATGTTTTGCAGCCGGGGGGGGCAACAGCTCTAGGCAGGAAGGCAATGCAGGATCACTTCAACTGAAGCACTGTACATAAGAAATTACCTATATCTAAATAGAGTCAACAAAACATCCATAAAACACTTTGAAACAGACTGCCTCGTCATGTGACACGTGTTGTGTCTGCGGAGCAGCAGGCGGTGTTTGATGCAGGGCCGTAACTAAGCTTTTCAGATTTAAAATTATATATTTTTGGTAAATAAATGTTTATTTTAAAGGTTATAATGGGTTTTTGGACTAACAAACAGTTAGTAATTACAAATATTTTAGAAACATAAAAGTAGGGTTACGTCAACTAATGTAATTGTAACTAATGTAAACTGCAACTAATCGTGGCAGTCCTAATTATTTATTTATTTATTTTTCTACCTGGATTACTGAGATGTTCTGAGTCAGTTTCTGCCTGTAAGACTTTAAATGTCAACATAGAGACCAACAAAATGCCTCAAAAGCTAAAATTCAATGGCCTTTCTGTCAATGACGGAACCGAAGCGTGAAGTCTAACGAAGGAGGAACAGAACTATTATTTCAGCCTGATGCCAGCTCTGAGTCAGGCTGATTATCATGATAATCCTGAATGTTGTGTTCCAGCGTTCGAATCATAAAGGTTAAATCTGACACTTGTAAGAGTTTGGATGATCAGAGCTCTGATGTAAACAGAAACAGTGAGGCGTGACGGCTTTTCTCTCTCAGGACGTTGAGATCCGGACTAACGCAGCTCAGTACCTGCCTCAGATCAGCGACCTGCTGAACCGAGTTCCTCGACAGATGCTGCTGCTGCTGAAGACCAACGACCTCCTGAGGGGCATCGAGACCACGTTGCAAGCCAGAGCTTCTTCTTCGTCCTTCATCAACATGTCCCGCTGCTGCATACGAGCCGTGGCCAGGTCAGAAACTCTCTGCTCCTAACATCGTCGCCTCCAAGTTTGACTGCGGGCAATCAAAAAATAAATGTTTCCTTACTGTCCACTCTTCTATTAACAGAAAAGCCCTGTCCCAATGCTCGCACTCCCACCCTCGTTCCTCTTGTGCACTTCAAATGTGCGTTCATGTTGAAGCGTTTGAGTGTGTAGTGTGTCCCATATTCTCCACATCCGCCCTTCGCCCCACCCATTTTGGGTACTATTTCCGCCCTTCCACGAAGTCTGCATTTTTATGGACTTCGGCGAAGTGTATTACCCACAATTCATTGCTGTGTGTGATGTTTTGAGCACCTTCCTCTGATGTATAAGCCTCCTTCACTTCATGCGCTTTCTTCTCCTAACGATTGCTTTTTGTAGTTGTGTTATCATTTTTATCAATACAATCAAATGCCAAAACAGTGATTGGTCCCACCATGTTGGATGTCACAGTTACGACGCAGAGGCGCAAGTCAATAACGTAATCCGTACTGTCCCAATTCAAAACGTTTTTGCATGTTTGTAACCTGAGCACTTGAACACTTATGTGCACTTGGACTGAATCCACACTTCACAGAGGGGCGTAGGGTGGCACTGAGCATTAGTCGTGTTTCCATCAACGTTTTTTAATGCGCATTTTGAAGTATCGCATCAGAAAAGGTGAACGGAAACGGCTTGATTYGAAAAAACTTCCTCTAATTTGTGAAAAAGTTGATACGCTCATTTTAGGTGATTTTTGGGTTTTGCGAAAAAGAGTTACTGTGCAAAAAGGAGAGATGGAAACACATTTGCCGAATAAGTTCTGACGTTGCAAACATTTACCTCACATGGTTGATCAGCTGTTCCCATTGTCTGTCCGGTACCTCCCGCTGTCGGCGTCTTCTCAATTATTCCTGTAACATGAAGAGAATTTAATTTCTTTCTCTACGTCTCCAGACAGCAGTAACATCACCAGAACTAGTTAACATGACAGAATAATTACAACTTTCCCGATAGTAGCAACACGTTCCTGATAACTTCTCTCTATTGTCCTGAGATGTGTGGACCCTGCGAGTTTGCGACTTTTACTTCCTGTTTACTACTTACATACGTCTGACGTAATTGATTTGCTTCAAGCCAGTTGATGGAAACACATCTGATTCGCATTTCTTTTTTTTCCTTTTTGCAAACTTTTAAAAATTCGCTCAAATTTCAAATTAAAATTGGATGGAAACATGGCTAATGGGACTGGGCCAAAGTATCTGAGTACTCTCCTCTCAGTAACTCCTCCTCTTCCTCTGACAGACACAAAAGGAGCAAGGCTCAGTCCAGGAGGCGCCGTCTGCAGATCGCTCTAGCAGAATCCCTGAGTTTGTGGAAACTCTCGGTGTACGAACTTCTTCTGTGGGTCAGAGGCTTGGTAATCAACCGCTGGCTTGCTGCCCTGCTGCTCTTCCTGCACTGAGACACGTCTGGAACATCTGCATCCTGACATCAAACCTGTGGCGACGTCTCAGCGTGGAACATTCAAGTGAACGGCTCAAGTTCCCATTCAGCGCTGTGTGGATGAGACATTTATCATGTTGGAAAAATAACCGTGCTTCTTTTCATCTTCACTGTTTCACAATCAAACACATCAACACATTTCATTTAAGAGAATTTCTTCAGGAAACTTTCTCTTTTTGGAGGATGGGGCAACTCCAAGCTCCCTTCACTACAAATAAAACTAAAACACGAGTCGAACTCTTATGGTGCATACAGACATTCGGTGCTGAGAAAAGACAAAAGGTAAGCACTCACCCGGCCAGTTTTCCTTCATCTCAGGAGCGAAGAGGCGAAGCCCTGAATGTTTCGAAACGCTGCGGTGAAGAAAACCTGACGTTTGATCTGAAACCTGAGCGATGACGTCTCCATTCCTGCTTCTCAACAAAATACCTCCATCACATCCACTTCCTGTTCGTACGCTGAGTATTTTCCACTGTTGGACCCGTTCTCTGGTGAGGATTCATGTTAACTGTTGTTTCAGGTCAGACATTCTTCACTCATCCCTGCAGCATGTTTCAGATGTATACCTTTTGTTTATTGAAGACAATAATCATGATTCTTTAGCATTGTTTTTTCTGTGTAACTCCAGCTCTGCTGAACGTACGCAGCTCTTACAAATGAATAAGAAACACTGGAGAAACATCGAGAAACTTTGGGGTCATTGTTCCTTTTTTGATGACATCACTCCCGCCAGGAAATTATTGGAAAATTTGAGGCAGACTGAAGTCTCCGGTTCGTGGTCACTGCCACTGTCCTGATGTGTCTGTAAATGTCTGAGTGGCTCACAGCCTGTGTACATTTAACCGCAGTCGGTATGCCATAATTACCTCAGAAATACGCAGAAAATCCAGATTAAGAGTACAGCCACGCTGCGAGAAAATACTTAGGCACAGCAGGGCTTTGAGTTAAAAGCTAATGTCAGCAGGCATGTCAAAATACTCCGAATGACTGAAGAACATTTTTCTGTTTAGCAGGTAAAAGGTTTGCTAAAGCTGATAATAGTTTTAGGGCTGTGTGATTTAGAAAAAAAACTTATCATTTTAGACAAATAGGATTTATTTCATGAAATGATTGTGACAGCTTAAAATGAAACAATAAACCAAGCTTTATCAGCTTAGTGTGAGAGTAATATTTATGTCTGCTCTAAATTCTGTGGAGATTAAAGGACTGGTTAAAAGAATGCATATCACCCGCTGTCTTAATGCAAATGTTTTAGAATAAATCGTGCTAAATAACAAAATAGCTTTTTGAGTTAAACTTTGACACACGTGCAATTTGCTGATTGAGCTAAGGGTTAGTGCTTCATGAGATATTTTGCTAACAAGTTGTTTCCCTAAATGTTTCCAACACTGAGAACTTTATGATGAGCTGAAGAAGTACACGCCAGCCRTTTGTCTCAACCTTTCCACAGACTCACTTATTTTTTTCCTTTTTGTCCCGAGTTTCAGCCCGGACTCAGAGAATCAGCTTCTCATTTTCATTTCCATAATCCCTCCAGCAGCCAATCTCAGAGACACACTCCCCAAGTCTGCTGATAATTTGCCTCTCTGTACAGTTCATCAGCCAAAGTGCTTAACTGCAAAAAATGTCCAGGAGGAGGGAGGAAAAAAAAATCTCAACGGCACTTTGGGACTCCAACCTGCTGTAATAGGTGGTTTAACAGGGAGGCGGCTGTGCTTGTTTTCAATGCGCTGTCAGGGGAATTGAAATTTGTTTCAGTGTTGTTGGTGTATCCTCCACATGTCGGAGACACTTTTTTCCCTTGCTGCTATCCTCGCTGTTAATTTCTTTCTCATGCTTCTATTATGGAACACACATTCTTCCCTTCCTGCACTCGCATGGTTTGCTAGTGGCTGCAGTGTGTGTGTGTGTGTGTGTGTGTGTGTGTGTTTGTGTGTGTGTTTGTGTGTGTGAGCTGGACCATCCGTCTTTATCACACACAACCACCCAGGCCTGCCACTGTTAATAAGGGCAGCTCTCTCTTTCCTCCCTCTGTGGACGAGGCCTGGAGGCGTACGAAAGGTCATAAACTGAGCAGAAGCAACAGTAAAACCACCGTGATCAGGTTTTTACAATGCAATGTTCTGCTTGGACACCCCGAGTCCTGGAATTCATGCTGATTTACTCGAACGTGCAGGTCCTACCGAAACATCCCCGCATGAAAATGACAGCAGAAAAACCAACCAAACCTGCTCAAAAAATCAGCCTAAAGTCTCAAAACTGTTCCTCAGAATTGTTCAGAACCTAGTGTTTTTCACCAGAGTTCATCAGAACAAACCTCAACCGCTGAGCCCCTGTGCAAAAACATACAGTCATCATTCGATGGCTTGAAGGGAAATTAGAAAACAAAAGCTCTGGTGTCCAAAGTCAGTCCTCAAAGGGCCGGTGTCCTGCATCTTTTAGGTGCTGCTCTGGTTCAACACAGCTGAACCTAAAGAGTCTTTAATTAGTAGGCCTCCTCAGTATGCCGTCAAGGTCTGCAGAGGCCTAGTAATTAAGCACTCCTTAGGTTCAGCTGTGTTGAACAAGGGCAGCTTCTAAAACATTTGGGACACCGGCCCATGAGGACTGAATTTGGACACCATTGCTCTAAAAGAAAAGAATAGCGTTGGTCAGGGATGATACCATGAGAATTTCCAGGAATCCCCAAACTTCGCAGTGAACCGCATACGTCATGCCTGAATCCAAAGGTTTTTATTCATGTAAACAAAGATGACGTTCCAGGTGCCAAAACAGAGTATGAGGGTTTCAGCAACACTTGGCTATAATTTAGAGGATTGCCAATGACCAACCACTGCGTTGATCTGAAAAAGGTAAGTGTTTTGTTCCTGCATTGTTATCTGGTGTTAGCTKTTAGCCGTTAGCAAGCTATGTTGTGTGCTCAAGAAAAACACGTGAATTAGTATTATTATTATTTAAATAACTGCATGACCAGGAAGCAGGAGTAAGCACTAAAACAGACACATTTACTTGGGCAGTTTGCTTCTGTTACTTTGAAACAAAAGAATAACTAAAGCAGGAAAAAAACAACACAAATGGATGGACAAACCTTACCAGAGTCTACAGTTGCTGGTCTGGGGTCAGGGTGCTCCTTTGGTCTTTTTTCTGCAAAGAAGTGTTTAGATCAGATGTAGATACTCCTCACATTTTTCCAGTAGAAGGCAACCTCAGCCACTGAGTCGAATCCAACGATCACATTTCTTTCTCTGAGTAATCGGCTTTGAAGACCAAATGCCTCGCATATGAGACCTAGCATATYGGGTGTCACCAATGCAAGACTCGTAGAAACAATGCTTTACAAATACCGTTTTTGGAAACCATGACTTCTGCACTGGACTCGGTTGTAGCTGCAGTTCAGCTTGACAGACATCCGGGGATTTGTGGACGTCACATATTGCGTAGGGAGCTGTCTTTAGTAACTCTGACCAAGGTTATTGCTAATGTCTTACTCACTGGATAACATAATTTGCAGACGTTTTGTGTTTTATCTGTTCAAACAGTTCAGCTGCTTTTTATGCTGTATAACAGCAGCATTACAGGAGGTGGATAATGTAGTATCATCATGTTTCTTTATGTGTTCCAGAGTATTTTAATTTTGAAGACGTTCTCCTCTGAGGTCTGGAGACTGCAGGTCTGAACCCCCGTCCTGTCCTCTCTCAGGTAACTGTTGGATAAATCTGGTGCACGTCAGAGAAATAAAAACTGCCGGTCTTCTCTGCGGCGTGGGCGGCAGCAGTGTCATTGTACCTCTGTTCCAGTGTGTTCAGGGTAATATACATACCTGCTGCCTTCCTGAAATTTGGTATGCTTGTTTGTCTTTGTGTCTATGGTGTATAATGATGTTATTGTGATGCTGTAATTCTGAGTGTTTATGTGCTGCAGAACAGGAACCTGCTGTAAAACAGCAATTATGCTGAGTCAGCCTTGATTTTTAATAATCTTTTCCTGTTAAATAAATTTTAAAAAATGAGGTGTCACAGTCGATTGGCCCACGCTGTTCACAACAGACCAGCCAGCGTCGAGGTGAGTACACAGTAAGTGTTTCTTCTCCTCTGTCCATCCCTCCTTCAGATTCCCCTCCCGACAGAAAGCTCACTCACCCAGCTTCATGTCTTCTTATTTAGACTGAGGCTGGCATTTCCCTCTGATTGGAAATCCAATATGGCTTTTACCRTGCTCCGCCCCCTGCGTGATGAATGTGATGCAATGTTTGGTTTCAAATTTCCAGCAGAATAAATCATGACTTTGTTTTTATCGACATCACAGCTAATCACCATCTTTAAAAAAAAACGACAGCAGAACCAGATGCATTCTTTCCCGTGTCTACGTTTGACATTTTGTCTCATTGCTAAATATTTTGGTAAATTTGGATTAATCCAAGGCAGAATTTTGAGTTTCTACACAAAAGTGCATTTATTTACCTTTACAGTAAAACTGAAAGCTCAAATCTAAAATCCCTGGAACCATGAAAGATCTATTAGATTCATTTTATGCTCAGATTTGTTCAGTAAAGTATTCTGTGTATTCTGAYGAGTGTTTGGTTAACTATGTCATCAACATCAAGAATATAAACAGATTWTTTTCATGTGGCATCCAGAGGTTTTAATTTATCTCTGATTAATTTTAGTTTCATACGATGTAACTGACAGGTTAAAGACTACAAACTTAACCATCTAAACCAGGGGTTCCCAAACTTTTTCCCCAAGAGGGCCAAAATGACAATCTATTAAAGGACTGCAGGCCAAATGTAATAATATATTATTTACATATTTATATTTCTATATATATTTTTAAATATATCTATATTTCGTATTTCTATGCTGCACAAAACATTTCTCCAAAATGAAAATCTATCCAAGGCCTGCAGGCCAAATGTAATAATATAATTCATGAAATACAAATACGTTTTAAGTA